CATAACAATAATTATTTATGCATGTTTATAATGTTCAATAATGTCAAATTTAAATTTTAAATTAATAAATAATTTTTTTTTTTTAAAACAAAGGGTTTTTTCCTATCACGATACATTATTACATGTATTATGGCTATAAAAATGTAGGAAGTTAGAGGAGGAAAATTGCTTGTCCCCCGCTCCCCCCCCTCCCCCTAACGTAACGAAATTTTAAAGTATTTCTTTATTTTCGAGAAAATTTAGTCCAAACATAAGGAATATTTTGTTGATGTTTGACCATCAAAATCTTAAAAATAAAGAAGTTGTCTAAAAATGTGCTACAATACGGATATATAGTATAATCCTTTATCTTTAATTTCCGTCTTCATTTGTGTAAAAATACCTAGCCAATTTTACATAAAACGTTAAATGCCGAACGCTTATTTTGCTACTTTTGCGGACTAGTGAACTCTTAACTGCCGACGGCAGTATTGTGGTAAATTAGTGATTTATAAGCGCACAATAGAACGCAATGGAGGAGAATTGTAAATTCAGTTAATAACGACAACCAAAAAGTAAAGAGGCAACAAAGTAATGAGATTTTTGAATGTCCGGAGTGCGGAAGAGAGATAACATCACGTATCGGGCTTTTCAGTCACAGAAAAGTTCATGACAGGAAACGCCTTGCGTAACCATCTTCTGATGCGTGTCAAATACTCGTCAGCAGGGTTCGGAAAACTACATGTTACTTTTAAAAACTACTTAAACTACATTACATGTAGTTAGTTTATGTAGAGAGTGTAGTTTATGTAACCTATCTATGTAACTTTCAAATATCGAAGGTTTGAGGTGAGTTTCTAATAAGTTGAAGCTTTCAAAACACAATGTATTTAAGAAAACAGAAGAAATATGGCTTTAAATATAATATTTACATCATATTGTCTCTATTACACCTCATACAAAGGAAAATTATTCATAATATCAATACATAGTTTATTAACGTAACGTTTCAGAAAAAGACGTAGTTTTTGAGGAAAAACTACACGTAGTTAATCAGGTAAATTACGTCTTAATTAACTACTTCCGAACCCTGCTCGTCAGCGAGTAATGGCAGTAGTAAGTAGTGATTTATTTTGCTGTTGTAACACCAAAGGTTCCAACAATCTTTGGTGTTACAGCAGCAAAATAAAACATTAAGTCACCACAATACAAAAAACACCTCACTTTTGCACTGGACGCGCATTTCGCTAACCATGTTAGCACTATCATAGAATGTACTTTCTTCATTAACTTTTAAGACAATCACCCGGTCTGAATGGTGATGTGGCTTCCGTACTTGATGTTAATAATCTGCAGTCCAATTCATTAGGGCATCGGGTTTAAAATCATTAATATAATTTAGTTTTACATTAATTTGGTCAATGGCTCAGCAGCTGATGCGGCTTATACAAAATCCTTCTTCTTCTTCTTCTTCATTCTTCTTCTTACAGTGCCTTACTCTATATAGAGCGTCGGCTACCTCTAGCATGTACTTGTGATGTGTGTCATCAGTGTTTCACAAGTACACGGGACCTACAGTTTATTGCCGAATCCGAACGGCATATTTGAGAGGCTGTACAAGGCAAATATACGCCGAGGTGGTTTGCCATTGCCTTCCTTGAGGTGGCGGCTCGTTGGTCGCTATATTTAGATAAATAAATATTTTTATTTAAATAAATAAAGCGACCGTACTGACTAGGGATCGAACCCAGTACCTTCCGCTCCGCACATCGACACACTAACGCTGGAGCTACGGCCGGCCACTCTTCTTCATTAGCAGATGATTAAAACTTGGTAAGCGAAATATGGTTAAGCTAACATGGTTAGCGAAACGCGCGTCCAGTGCAAGAGTAAAGTGTTTTGATGTATTGTGGTGAATTAGTGTTTTATTTTTTACATTCGTTTTTTTATGATTTTATGTTAACCTATCAAAATTCATGCTTTATATCAGCATTATGTTCTGATTACTTATATTTATTTATATAGATTAATAGATGGTATTTAGATGTTTAGATAGATGGTATTTACATAATAATATTTCGAATTAATTTAGTAATACCTACCTACCCTTTTTTAAAAATATACTCAAGGGTACTATACACAATACAATACTATTTCACTGTTTTTTATTACATATATCTAGATTTTTGTACTAATTATTTGGTAACATTAGTGGATTTAATACGTTGATGTTATACTTCAACTAGCGTGTACCAGCGACTTCGTTCGCGTCGAATTAATCATTCGTAATGGTGATGATAAAGCAAAGCAAGAATTTCTATTAACATACAAACTGGAGAAAATTTTCTCACATTTATGTCAGCATGAGAAAAAACAATATGGCGACATTATTATATAACTTGGTAATATTTGAGGGGTAGTTTCATCTCGTTGGAATTTGACTTTCGAAAAATCCGTTTGCCAAAAATAAGATTTTTACGTCAAGCAGTTTAAGCAGAATCGTGGTTAAGAAATTAGCCGAAGTTAAGTTTTTGGAACATCCTGTATGATTTTTTAAAAAAATTCAAAATATGTAAAAAAACCAAATAAATTATGCTTGTCCAAACGTTTTCCCAAAAGACTAACCGTTTTTTAAATAACTAATATTGTAATATTTGATGGGCGTTTTCACCCTCTTGGAATTTGAGATTCGAAAAACCCCTCCCTATCGAACCTCTACATCCCACAGTCAATCCGTTTGCCAAAAATCAGCTTTAAACGTCAAGCAGTTTAAGCAGAATCGTGATTACTCAATTGTCACATTTTATGAAACACCTTGTATAAATTTATAAAAAATCTTAAACTATGTAAAACAACAAAATAAAATATACGTGTTTAAGAGTTTTTCCGAAAAACTCACCGGTTTTTAAATAAAGAATATTTTAATATTTGAGAAATAGTTTCACCCCCTTAGAATTCGAGTTTCGAAAAATCCCTTCTTATCGAACCTCTACACCCTAAAGTCAATCTGTTTTCCAAAAATCAGCTTTTTACGTCAAGCGCTTTAAGCAGGATCGTGATTAATCAATGACCAGGTTTTTCGAAACACCCTGTATACATTTTTAAAAAATCTTAAAATATGTAAAAAACAAAATAAAATATACGTGTTTAAGCGTTTTTTCGGAAACTTGATGGTTTTTTAAAAAATATTGTAATATTTGAGGGGTGGTTTCACCCTCTTGAACTGGAATTTCGATAAATCCCTTCTTATCGAACCTCTACACCCTAGAACCAACCTGTATGCCAAAATTGAGCTTCTTACGTTGGGTGGTTTGAGCAGGATCGTAATTAAACAGTATGTCAGTCACTTAAGGATTTTATATTATATTAGTATAGATTTACACACTTACTTAGTTATTTAATTTAAGAATTACATTAACAATATATTAAAATCTATCGTTTATGAAGAGCATTTAAATAGTTTGGTTTCTATAAACATTAAAATAAATAGTAGACGAATAAATAAATAAAAACTTGGCAAAAGCCTTTAAGCACAGACATCTCAATCAATAATTGAGATTCTGTTGGATTTGAAGCCTTCATATATCTACTTCTAAAAAAATATATTAAAATAAAATTGGCATTCATAAGCAACATTCAGCTTCTAACAACAAGTTTTAAGTAAAAAAGAAAAGAAGGAAAGTGGGAATCATTAAGTAAGGGCGTATACAGGGTAATAATAATAATAGCTCCCGTATATAGCGTTTAACGCCTTGGGAGTAGCAAGGTATCCCCCAGCTTGTCATGCTAGAGCCGTTCGGTATACAAGGATTATTATTACCTCAGGATTGTGAATCCCAAGTACTCATTTAAGGCTGAGTCGACCTAGGTACTCAAACTATTTTTATTTTATTAAAAATAGTCAGCTGATCAAATGCCGGATGTAGGATTCGAATCCACAGCCATGATATTGGTAGACGAAAGCTGTACCTCTACGCCACGGGGCACCTGGTTACGGGGTGAGTATACAGGGTGAGTTTTAAATAAGTGCAAATAATTTTAGGGGTAGTACATTTTGACCCCAGAAACACGATTATGAGGTTTTTTCGCGAATTTTTTTTTTAATTTGGATTTTTTTGAAAAAAAAAGTTTGAAATATTTTAGTTAAAAAACATAATTTGTTGATAATATGGCAACATAGGTAGTAGGCTAAATTTACAAGAAAGAAAATCCAGAAAAGATGCAGTGGTTCTCGAAATTTTAGCAAAAAATCATTTTTTTGGAAATTTTTAAAATGAATCATTCGGTTACCTATTTTGGATTTATTTGAAAAACGGTAAAGAAAAAATATGTTTCTTTTATCGAGATCTACCAGCCCTGAAAATATTTGCACTTATTTAAGACTCACCCTGTATATCTCATATAAGAAACAAAACGAACCATTTAAGTATTATGTCCTTCCAAATAATGAATGACGGAGAAGACAGGGTCGCCACCTGGCAACATCACAACATAACTGCTGGAGAAACAATCTTAGCTTAATAGACTTCTTAAAGGCAGGCACAGGGGACTGTATATTAATGGTAAGACCAGGCATTTACAAGTTTTGTTACATTAAATCTATGAACCTTTTGAACATTCCTTTTCTATGCCTAAGCACTTTTATTAGCCCTCGCCTGTGTAAATTAGAAGTGCTCGAACCTTCGTTAAACAAAAGTTTGAAATACAAATAGTTTGGTAATTTCAACTTGAGAATACATATTCAACCACTTTGGTCTAGTTAGAATCAGGAGTTATGTAATCTTTCCGTCTTACACCATAATATATCAATCTTAGGCATGAGTTTTGTACTCTTTGAAGCCTGTATCTGTCAGATGCATCAAGACAAGGAAAATATACGCTGTAACAATGATTAAACTGCGATAAAACGAGACTTTCACACATAATTTTTCTGGTATCAATTAGCAGGTATTGTCTATGACTATATGTAAGTTTTGACTATATATAAAATTTCCATAAGCAGACTTGAGTTATTGAGCCCAATGGCCCCAATAGACATAGTAATTGAAGAAAGAATGGAAAAGCAAGAACGTTCAGGAAGAACAGCGGAAGAAAGTAGAAATAGAGTTTTGGAAATGTGGTGTAAAAGATGGAGTGAAAACAGAAATGGGAAAGGTAAATGGCCTAGAACAATTATAAAGGACCTAGAGTTTTCGATAAACAGAGAATACGGAGAGCTAATATATGCCATGAGTCAATTTCTTTCTGGTCACGGTTGTTTCAGGTATTATTTATATAAAATAAAGTTAATTGATGGCCCGAGATGTCTCTATGACGACTCCAATGCTGATATGGTGGAGCATACCCTTTTGGAATGTAACCGATGGACAGCTGAACGAAGAGTTCTATACAAAAAACTAAGAGTCGATAAAATTAAGATTTACGATCTAGTTCCAGAGATGATTCGATCCCCAGAAAATTGGAATGGTATTCACACTTTTATGGAGACACTAATAGATATAAAAGAGAAAGAAGCTAGACGAAGTAACCAAAATATCACATTAAAACCGCCCCCTCGAGAAGTAATGCTGAAAGGTAGTTCCTGGGGAGATACTTAAAGCAGTTTGTCGTTTTTTTAGTCGGTAAGGTACCTTAACCACCCCGAGACTACCGGTCTCTGGTTTGTAGATTTTTTCCCCACAAAAAAAAGTCTTGATTTTTTGTTAAATGTTCCTTGAAGCGAAGTCTGGAGTCAATCACTAAACCTAAAACTTTACATATTGAACTTATATTTAATGTATATTTAATGTTACATTATTAATATGTTTTGGGTTTACAAAAATTTGTTTTTTTGGGCTTATGTTTTTGAAGTTGAGATATAAAACTTACCCTTTATGACAGCTACACTAATCGATTCTTTTAAAGCCTCGTCAACTTGTATAAAAACAATGCTAAACAGGATTGCAGCGGTTGTAAATAAGGCCATATTAAAATAGTAATGTCTTAATGTGTCACAACATTCTATAGCTGTCACGATAGTGTGCAATGTTTTTGTTTATTTATTCGCCTACAGTTTATTTTAATGTTTATAGAAATCAAACTATTTAAATATTTATTATAAATGATAGATTTTAGTATTTTGATAATGTAGTTCTTAAATTTAATATTTCAGTTTGTGTAAATTAAAGTTTCGTCACAATATTTAGTTGAGTTAGTAAGTATGAATTTCTGTAACATGATATGCTTAAAATTTGAACTAAACTAGTAAACTAGTAATAAGTACAATAATAATTAGTAAAAAATATAGAAATTTTGACAAATGTCCATTGACCAAATGTGCTATCCTTAATTGAAATTGAGGGAATAAAAAGCACCTATTCTCACAATCTTATTATTTTTTATTTTTGGTGGCTAGTTTCAAAACCTTTATTTTACATCGACCAACCCCATAAACATTGACCAAGTCATTATTGTTTAAGTTATTACTCTGTAAAAAATAATATAAAATTGTGAGAATACATGCCTTTTATTGTTTCGATAATTGAGGATAGCTGTTACTAAAAATTATGTTTTTCAATTAGAAAAAATATTTTAGGCATATTTTTTTAAGTTGACACATAAAACTTACCCTTTATGACAGCTAGCCTAATCGATTCATTTAAAGCCTCGTCAACCTGTATCGGCACTTGATCAATGTCACCCACGTTAACCCCCGATTTTGTCTAGGTTCACCCTCGCCACCGATTTTGTTTATTTGTTACGGTAAGTTGCCATGCGACTACTGGCGGCTCTGGCAGATCGCAAAATTTCAGGAATCCTGCGATGCCGCGTTCGCGCGGTTTCAGGCAGGCGCGAAACTGCGTTGCCCGGCGTCGCCGATAGGCTTTGGAGCGTCGGCGATGACGCAGGAGCGTCGCGGACAAGGCCTCCTAGGAATGGAGGCTTGGTAATGTCTCGCGAGACAAGCGCTTTTGAATTGAGTACGTCCTGTCCAAGAAGATCAATTTGTAAAGGGAAAAAATGATTAAGCCTGGTTGACACGGTCAAAGTGTACTTGGACTAAGTCAACCGGATTATAAATATACTTATGTTTGTATGGTATCAACAGATTTATCAAAGTCGAGTTGGACGGTTTCGTAGTCTCCAAGTAAGTTGGAAGGCAGCCCACTTACTTTGGTGCAAATTTGATGTTAAAAAGCCTTCTAACTCAACTTTGATCAGTAAATAATACAGGGTGTCTCAAAAAACATGTGCCATCTCTCGTGGGGAGATTTATCACGTAAAAATAAGATTTATTTTTCATATTAACATAGGTTCGAATCTGCTTTGTTTCGTAGCTACAGGGTGTTAAAGTCTTAATATTTTTTTGATTTATTATAATTTTCTTCCAAGTACTTTTAGCATTTCGAATGAAATTTTGATCGTACAAGTACTCATATTTTAAAGCTAAAAAAGTGTCGACATGTTCATCAGGGACGTGCATATGGGTTATCAGTGGAATATTTTTCTAAAAAAAGCATTTACGCCACTGACTTTTTTCTCTTGTTAGCAAAATAGAGTAAGCAGATTAATGCCGATTAAAAGTTGTCTATTGATAGTTTGTCGATTTAGGCTTCTTTGGTGAAATAAACGCAATTTTATTAATTTCCCTTGATCCAACTCTAATAGCAACCTTTAAAAAAATTTAAAATCATTAACTTGCGGAAGTTTTAAATAAGTACTCATTGATTCCTCATCAAAAAATATGAAAAAAAGTTTCTATAAACATGGGTATGGAAATGCATAGTTTTAGAGTTTCAGGATGTTAAATTTTTTTGTAAAATTAGGTTTTTTTTAATTATTATCTTAAATACCTTTATTTTTTTTGCCGAAAATGACATTTGGAATAGAATGACATATCACATGTCATATTTTGTCATTTTTAATTAAAAAATAATACTTTAAATTTAAACCTATACAGAGAAGACCAGGCTACTAGTAACATAGCAAGTTGCCGGACGAATTTACGTTTACCCGGTTTGCGTTCGTACTCAAGATTCACTGCCGGCTAGTCGGCTGGTCAGGCAGTACGCAGTTGCAGTTGTGCTTGGACGGGTCGGTCGTGACAGACTAGGAATACGACGCGAGAAGTGCCGAGTATTTATTATTTTCATTTTAAGTGTTTACCTTCACTTTTTAAAATTTTAATTTTTTTTTAAATATTTATTATTTGAGTGTGTTTACAAGCCAAAAGTATAAATAAATAAATTCTCTAAACCCCAAAAAAACTAAAATATTACTCTAAATAAAAAGAAGTTATAACAAGTGTTCAAAAAGACCATCTTCTTATGCTAGACAGAAGCCTAGGCGATCGTACAATCCCCGTCTAGCATTGGGTAACATATTAGGGCTAATAGTTTGGAAAGTCTCTTGTATTTTTACTTGAAGCTTATCCAGATTATTAGCCCTATTATGACCATACACTTTGGATTTTACATAACCCCACAAAAAGAAATCATTGGGAGAAATATCTGGTGATCTAGCGGGCCACATAATAGTTCCATATCCACTAATTAAACGGTTGGGAAAAGTATTGTTCAAATATTCTTGAACAATACGGACATTGTGGGCAGGGCAACCACCTCAGCAATTTGATTACTTGAAAACGTGGGATTTTGATCCGCGGTAGCACAAATGAACACTTGCTTTTACTCCTGTTCTTCATTAATCAACACATCAAACTTTTTGTGTTTTTGTAGGGACACGCACCTATGTGTTTCAAAATTATTAATAACTCTTGATATAGTAGGTAAAGATGGAATTGGCCTGTTTACAAAAGTTTGTGGAAAAATTGTTTGTATATCCCGATAAGACCTATTTTGGAAATACCATTTTACAATTTGAATTTTCTCACGAACTTCGTAAACATCCATTATTTTACTTAAAAAAATAAATTTTACACGAGAACTGTCGCGAGAATCTATGTATTCGTTTTGGCTATTAAAACACGAATAAATACGAATTCTGAAACATTCTTATCACATATCTACCTATTTTTATTTTATCGCATTTTTTCGCCTGCTTTTTATCCGGCGAACGGGTATACGCTAATTCGTCCGGTTCTGCCTATGTTACTATTACGGTGGTCCGGTCTGTATAGAGCTATGGCTGTATTAAAACCACTAGTTTTAATCTAGGAGCCTTGGAGAAATAGATTTGATTGTCTAATGTTTTTCGTGTCTTTTCCTGGACGGCTAAAAGATGCTCAAATCGTATTTTTAATGGGTAACATTTAATAATCAATAATCATAGTTCTTCCTGGTGAAACAGGTAGTCACCGAAACTAATTGAATACGTCAATCAATATTGATTTACGTCATATACTAACTTATCAAATTTAATTTTTTTATCTATAAAAATAAAAAAGTTCAAGGAGTGATATCCATTTTGAAAAAGGCTCGGGCTAGAGCTTTTAAGGAAGTACCTACTGTATGATCGAACAAAAATGTGGCTTCCATTTGACTTGAATATGACGACATATATGTAATTTTATCTAAAAACTGACAGCGATCTTCTTTTCCAGGCCAAATCTGATACCATTTTTTTCTCTTATAGAATAAATTTAAATAATTATTTTTCAGATCCCACTGAAAGCTTTAGTATACGTTATTTATAAACAAACTTAGGAGGCTGTACTTCGTTAATTGATTTAAACATAAACAAGTCATCATATGGTATAACCACAAATAACGATATACCATATAAAAATTTACACTAGAGATTTTGTAAACTAGCAGATATACAAAAATGATTAAGTTTATCTGTGATTAAATTAGGGAAAAATGTTGGTGAACTCCACAACGTCATGTTGCAAAATATAAAATAAATTCCGATTACTTCCGAAGATATCTGGAAAAAACTAATTTTCCAGATTTCGTTTATTTTTTTTCTGATTTTATTTGGGAAAAATTTATGACAATATAAATTTCACATATCCATTACTACTTTTGCTACTCAACATAGGTTGATACACCTGGGGATTCATTAACCTGGGGATTACTACTCTATCTGAGGCTACATTAATCTGGGGATCAGAACCTTTGGTGTTACAACAACAAAATAACCCAGTGAGCATTTTATTCCTTTAAAGGAAATGTATTCTAGGTAACGTCATTGTTACGTCACCAGGCCTATCTTTTGCCTGATAAGAAGCAATAAAACGCAGATACGTAACTGTTCCCTAATGTTCCCTAAATGTGACAAAACTTTGCTTACTAGGAAGACTCTAATTCACCACAATACACCAAAACACTTTGCTTTTGTACTAGACGCGCGTTTCGCTAACCATATTGGCATTATCAGGAGATCATTAAAACTCAGTTTAATAGTTTTAATCATCTGCTGATAATGTTAACATGGACAGCGAGACGCGCGTCCCCTGCAAATTTAATGTGTTTTGGTATATTGTGGTGAATTAGTGTTTTATTTGAAGTTGATATAAAATTTTCAATTTGACGTTTCGTTTTCAAGATGCCATCAACAACTTTATTTTTGATATCGTCATCATTCTGAGCTTATTCAATCATTTCCAATTATGGTGTAGCCTCTTTCACATTCTTTTCATTCTTCACACTTCATATTTAGATACTCTCTTTGTAGTTCGGCCCATTGCAATCATGATCTCAGGTTTGGTCTTCCTCTAGGTCTCTTAATACCTCGTTGGTACCATGCTATAATTTTTGTGGTCTATCTTTTGTCCGTCCTTCTTGCCACTTGGGGATTGGATTCTGTGGATGACGTCTATTACCTGGGTCTTTTGTCGTATCCACTCTATTTTTTTACGGTCTTTCTTGGTTAATCCCAGCATATTTCGTTCCATTAAGCGTTGTGCGAACTGCAGTTTCCTTATAATGTCCGTTTTAACAGTTCAGGTTTCGCATGCATAGGTTACGACTGGTAGTACACATTGGTCGAATGTTTTCTTCTTTAGATAAAGTGTTTTTTTTTGATAAAATTTCTGGTGTCTTCTTTAGATAAAATTTTGATCTACACTGTGTCAATTTTAAAACTTCCCACCCCCTAAAAATATGAAAAATCGGAAAGACACGGCAATTTTATTTGTGAAGAGGACACTTTAAATGAATATATTTGAATATTCACTGTTAAAATTTCACGTCAATCGGTGCAAGTATTCAGAATTCGGACCCTAAAACCCTTGCTTACTGGCCTGTTAGGGGTTCAAAAGAGCAAAGTAGAGTTTGGAATGCGAAATTTGTATTTTTTTCAAAAAAGAAGTTGAGAAAATTCTATTTTTCTTCGAAAGTACGGAGCGATAAAATAGTTAACTTAAATAGTTGGCAATACTGTATCGCAGCAATTTAGGATTAGTGATTGGAACTGATGCTAAAACAAAATTATCGATCCAAAAATTTTAGCTGATGTCGATTCATTGCTGTCAATTTTTTTGATATTTGTTTATCTTCTTTTAAATGTGCAAGTTTTGATTTTGTTAGTTGTACCTAACATCAAATGCCTCCACGATTTTTGGTGCAAAGATTCATGATTCTAAAAATCGTGTAAATACTTTCCATATGTTTTTTTTTCTAGCTGGCCTTGCAATTAAAGTTATATTAATAAACCTCAGAAAGTTATAGTGGACTTAATAAGTTGAAACTACTGGTCTATTTATAAAACGAAAACTGAATATTTATTGGCGATTTCCGCATGTCTTAAGCCGTTTTAATTGCGGCCATTTCGTCAGCTTTTCTTTATTTTAAGAAGAACCGATTCATCTCTTCCAGTAAATATATATTTTCCACGTCACCGATGGATGTTTGAAAAGCGTCGAGAATATAATTCGAGTTCGGTTTT